AGTAAATCAATTTAAACTGCACAGTGGTTTGAAAGCACACCCCTTCTCTGGCCATCTAAAATGACTGATAAAGTAGCAAAACCAATCAGAAGTAAGTTAGTATATAGAGAACTACTAGTATGTATCAGTTGTACTGCAACTATGTAGTAAAAGTAACAAGTTGTGCCCTGTAGAAACAAGGTAATGTTGAAAAAATAGTTACATCACTTGAGAGGAGGTCGCCAGGACCCCACAAAGACATAATTAACATATTTAATAACAAATATAATTAGCAGATACGATTAGCAGCACTCGAGGATGTGACGAGCAGTTGGCAGACTTAACTAGTAGCATTAGCAGAAGTAATTAACTATTAACTAGCTATAACTTGTAGCGATTGTAGAAATAATTGGTTCTCACTCAGTTTCTGGAACAACAACAGGAAACTGAAGATTTTCTTCTGCACATAAAAAAGCTTTTGACGTTCAGAAAATGATTCTGATTCACAAACTAAAAATATTTGTGGCTCTTCAGTTTGATGAAAAGTTTAGAAATGTTCTCTGTCTTGTCATGTTTCATACATGTGTTTTTACTCTGTCTCTCACACAACACACACACGTGTTCAGTTTGCGGGACACAGGCGGCTCAGGAGGATCTCAGAGTACACCTGGTTCACTGGTCCTCTCACGTGATAAGTGAAGGTGTCAGGCTCCACCTCCTGCTCCGTGTCCTGCATGGCTGATTGGCTGCTGAGTCTCGTTCTGGAGGATGTGCTTCTCTTGGACGTCGTGTCGTCTGGAGGCCTAAAGGACGGAAATCTCTCCACCTGTGAAGAAGAAACAGCAGATGTTAGTGAAATCTGACGATTCCGAGAGGAACTCCATCACCAATCATCAACAACTTATAATCACTAGTATTTATCTTTAACACAAACAGAACAGAGACACACGACCGACTGATATTTGAAATGTTTCACATCCCGCCCACGCTGATGTTGCATCGATGAAATTACAGAATCCAAATCATATGAAACGTTCTGATTCGTCCACTCAAGAAGATCGGCAGAGGAGTTGTTGATGAAAACCTTGTTACCTCGTGAAAGTGGCAGGCACATCTCCCCTGCAGGAACTCTTTATATCGACCCATCGTGATGCTGAACGTGTCGATCACCTCGTACCCATGATGCTTCGCTGTGGCGATGATGTTGTCGTTGTCTTTGTCGAGATCTTGGATTTCTCTCTGAAAGATGGAGGGAGGTGTTTTCAGTTTCAAAAGAGACGAGACCACATCTGATTCCTGATCCTCAGAGGTTTAACCCATGTGATTGTAACTTTATTTATTCTTCATGAAATGATTATAACTTATTTATACTTTATTATTAAAAGTCATCATTGTTTTTACATTCAATGTCATAACACAGACGATATGAAAAGTCTGAGACTCTGGTCGGTAGTTAGTTAGTTAGTTAGTCAGGACAGAAGATGAACAACCTACCAGACTGAGAGATCTGATCCCATCCACAGGAAGATGGAAACCCATCCCTAAAGTCTTCACCACCACCAGGATGTTACTGAGACCCTCCCTGAGGAGGAGGAGTCAACACATGTTGTCTTGGTAACCACAGTCTTGACTTTGATGCCTGTGAAACTGATTCTGAAGGAAAAGAAACTGATTCACTGAGTTCACTGCAGATCTGGAAGTGAAGCTCTACGCTGATGACACTAAACTGAATGTTCTAACCCTAACTTTTTATTGTTAATAAAAAAGTAAAGCTCAAACAAAGCTACGTCTGAGTAACTGCACCAAACATCAAAAGAAAAACTGGATCTGATTTGATTTGTGTGTGATACAAATTTTTATTTCTACTGAAACACGAAATCTGATGATGAAGACAGAGACTGAATCTGAAGGAGACAACGTTTTTCTCACCTGTCCAGCACCTCGCTGACCGTCCACAGGTGATTGGTGTTGAGCCACTGGACTCCTCCCACCACCAGGACAGTGAGGTTAGAGTTCACCAGAGGTCGAGACCTGTCAGAGCACATTTGTGTTAAAGAGCGTCTACAGGCCCGGTGATGCCCAGGTGACACCCGGTGATGCCCAGGTGACACCCGGTGATGCCCAGGTGACACCCGGTGATGCCCAGGTGACACCCGGTGACTCACCTGTGGAGCAGCTGCAGCAGCGCCTCCCTGAACGTAGGCCTCTGCTCCTTCTCCAACCAGAACTGAGGATAATACGAGTAACTGACCAGAGTCCGACCTGCGTTCAGGTCCCTGTGGACAAGCGTGTCATGAGCTTTGCCCCAGTCGTCCAGACTGGAGTTGACCCGCTCCATCAGGAAGTACATCATCCCACGATTGGTCGAGTCACCGATAAACAACACCTGAGGACGGACGATTCCACAGATGAGTCAGCGACATCATCAGGACACGTGTGATGTGACATTAGTCTCACTCCTTCATGTCCATGACCTCACCTTCCTGTCTGTCATACAGTCCTGCAGCAGGGGGCGCTCCACCAACCGGTGGTGACAGCCATCTGGTTGCCAGGCAACCTCCCTCCAATCACATGTCCTATTGTCAGAACAGCTGAGACATGGAACCACCCACCGACCTGAGACAGATAGGACATACAGGTGAGAAACAGACAAAGACAGCTGGGGGATGGACAGATATGTGAGACATGTGAGAGACAGACAGCTGAGAGACAGACACACAGACACAATTGAGACAGAGACATGTGAGTGAGAGAGACAGAGAGAGAGACAGACAGACAGACAGACAGACAGACAGACAGACAGACAGACAGACAGACAGTTGAGTTACTGGGACAGGAAGTGACATCACACCTGGCTGGTGTCCTGATGTGCAGATGTGACATGGCCTCTGGGACGTGACGGCAGGTTGAAGACCACAGGAGCGATCGGGTCGGACCCGGAGACCACAGTCCTGAAACCAGAACACGCATCAGAACTCTTCCTCTCCGACCTCCTCCTCTTCTTTTGTTTCTGAACTCTGTCGTCAGAGGTCAGAGGTCAAATAAACCAGCTCGGCTAAGGGGCCCCGTGAGAGCCGCCAGGTCTGGCCCCGAGTTCAGAGACGCCGCCGTCAAGCAACCCGTACAACACACGCTGATTTGTCCCCATAATGTGACTGTCAGCCCCCACAACGGGGGTAAACCTGCAGCACACACACACGGCCTCCTCTTCTGCAGGTTTCGTGGCAGCGGCGTCACATTCCTCACCATGGCGTCGCAGCTCACAACAAAGTGCAACAAGAAAACTTAACAGGGATTTTCTTGTTCGTACCTGAGCTCAGTGTAAACGCTCAAACAGACCGGACGCTGCACTGAGATCAGCCGCCGCCACCAAGCCACTAAAACACGCCCACACCAAACACACCGCTGCCTTTCATCCTGAAGGTCACGACTCAGAGCCGCCGCCGCCACAGAGAGGACCACAATCCACGTCCCGAGGACCTGATCCTGAAACTGGTCTGAGTCTGAACCAGGACCTGGTCTGAGTCATGTTGTTCTTTATCTTCAGAAAAAACTCGAATTCAATTTTTTGCAACAATAAAAACAACAAAACCATAAATAGTTTCAATAAATTGATGATGAAATGAATTAAACTGAGAATTAAAACTAAACAGCATATAAATAAAAAGTCACGTTTATTCTGGAGTCAAATCAACAACGGGAAATAAAACGACTAAAAAAATATAATTATCAATTTTTTTCAGTAGTTTTAAATAAATATCAACTATATTCATATTAATTCAATAGACAAAAAAAGACAAATGTTTTTATAGAAACTAAAATTAATTCACATGATTTATTCATTTAAATTATTGATAATTTATTCCTTATTTTCAGATTATCTATGATATTATATTATATACTATATTATTATAATTAAAGCTGTGGAGAAATAAATAAATTGAAACAAATTAAAATTTACTAATTTTTTTGTTAATGAAGTTTTGCGTGAGACTCGTCACAGACGTGTTCCATGTGACATGTTGTAGGGGGTGGAGCTGCAGGTGTCACGTCACAGTGTTGTGGGGGTGGAGCTGCAGGTGTCACGTCACAGTGTTGTGGGGGTGGAGCTGCAGGTGTCTCAGGTGAGATCGTGACCATGTATGAACTGAGTTTCACTTTTCTTCAAGCTCCGTATTTTTGAGTTTACAGACGAGTTTTAACTCTGGTGTGTTTTTCAGTGCGGAGCAGAAGCAGAAAGTTAATCCTCTGAGCGTCGTGATCAAAGATCTGAACTGATCTGAGATCTGATCTGATCTGACTCTGAGTAAACCTGCTCATAATCCCTTCAACAGTCATCAGATCACACTCACTGCTGCCAAGAGCTTTTAAGAAAAGACCTGAGACACTGCCAAAAAAAAATAGACCAGGAGACG